GGGCAGGGGAGATTGGGTAGGGAGGGGGCGGAACGGGGCAACACCTGATCGTTCACGTGGTGCTGACAGGCATTGCAACACGCTTGCTCGAATTCAACTGCATTTAACCGTATGTTGTTAAGCAGCCTCATCCTTTGAGGAAGGCGAGAACTGCTGCGGCTGCATGGCGGACACAACACCTGCCACAGCACAACAGAATCGGGCCTGCGTAGCCGGCCCTGACACAGGGGATCGCTGCAACGCCCTTCCTGCTTCCCATGCCGCACCAACAAGTGTGTAATCGAACAACCACACCTGCTTTTCCGGGAGCTCGACCAGCTCCCGCTCCCGCTGCCCCAGCGCGCGCCTGTGGTGCCCGCGCGGCTGCCCAAAGTCCAGGACCACCAGGTGTGCCGCGCCCGCCTCCAGCACCGCCTGCGTCGGGCTCAGCAGCCGCACGCCGATGCGGGACGGCGCGAAGCCCCCGACGATGCGGCCGAACGCGCTGCGCAGCGCGACGAGCGTCTCGCCGCCGTCCAGGTCGAGGTTGGTGCGCACGCCAAAGCTCACAGACACCGTGCACGCGAGCAGCGCCTGGCAGCGGTCCAGCGGCGTGCGCGTCACGTCCGACAGGCTGGAGAGCACCGCGTGCTGCAGCTGCGAAGAGCGCGCGGGCGTGATGTGCAGCGGCGGCGCCTTCGGGTCCTGCACCAGCCGCCAGGGCTGCGTGACCCACTTTCGAACGGGCGCCGCGCTGGGCGGGGCCAGCCGGCCCAGCACCCAGCTTGTGTAGGTCTCGTATGTGGGCACTGCGTGGGCATAATGGGTGCGTTTGGAGCGGCACGGTATTCGAGGCCCATACGCAACCGCTTGCGCCCCAGCTACGGCCGCGCAAGCGAGCCGGCGCTTCGTCGGCCTGCAGAGGGTGCGGGGGTCTTGACCCAAAGGCTCGGCTGCAGCTGCTTGGCTGGGGTGCGTGCGATCGCCACGAGAGCGCCGCAGGCTGTTACTCACCATACAGGTAGGCCGGCCAGGGCGACTCTGGCACCTGCTGCGGCGACGCCGCGGCCTGCCGCGCGTCGTCCAGCAGCAGCTGCGCGAGCTCTTGGAGTGGCATCGCCGGTGCGCTCGCGGCAATGGAAGCGTCTGCATCCACGACGATGGTCTGATTCACCTGGTCGCTCTCGTCAATCAAGGCGTCTTCAAGGTCCAGTAGGTCGCTTTTCAGGCGCGCTTCAGCATGGGCGATTTGGCTGTTGTCCCCGGGCGCGGGCTGGGCCGCGGGTTGGGATGCATGAGATGTGTTCGCATCACAACATGTGTGTATGCTGAACGCCGTGACGATCAGGAGCCCCAGCGCGAGGCATCCGCGTCTGCTGCTCATCGTGCACCGGCTGTCACATCACAGGCGACGTCCATAAATATGCAGACAGACAGCTCTGGAACTTTAACCTGTCACCAGCCATCCCCCGACCATGAAAGGTCTGGCGTGGGCACATGGACACCACGCTGACTGCGCAACTTCGTTGTGTTTGACCGCTGTGCCAGCCTTCACAGCTGGTGCGCGCGCATTGAAACAAGGCGTCAGGTTGCATGATAGAAGTGCTTGATCATTTGTGATGTGCAAAGGGCACAAGAGTGTGGTTATGATGGGGGCCTGACTTCATGAGCATTGCATTGCCGAGCGCGCTGGGCTGAGCTGTCCTCTCACCAGCTGCCTCGCGCACATGTGCACAAGGCACAGCGGAGGGTGCCTGAGCAGGACAAAAGGACAGCACATGACGTGCTGCAATCCAATGGACCATTACAGCCTTGATCGTGCTTCCTTTCAGGACTTGATGATGTCTCCGTTTCTCCAAGTGCCCCCCTTATCAGCACCGCCAGTGGCTTCTCACCACGCATAATTAGTATGAAAGGCGGAAGGCCCCAAATCTTAGGGATACAGCTGCAAATAGTAACTTGGTCGGAGGATTGCAGAGCTCACGACTGTTGTGAGACTGGCACGTAGGGGGGGGGGTCGAGGGAGCGAGGCGAGGCCAGCTGCAGGCGTGGCGCGTGCGACCAGGCTGGAAAGATGTCTGGCTGGGGCTGCTGGATGCACGCACGCCCAAGATCACTGAACCCTGGCGAACTGCATGCGGTGAGGCCGCGCTGGCAAGGGCGTGCTTTGCGTGTGGTGCAAGGCTGGGGCCTCCCGGGAATGGCCGGCCCAATCTCTCCCATTCACATCTCCGCAAAAATGGTTTGCATACAGTCTGTCTTGGCACACAGATGACTTTATATTACAACCGTAGTCACTGTTACAGTCTCAACTGCTCTTGTCAACTCAACCAAACTGCATGTGCTTCACTGGCCTGGGGTAGAGCGCCGCTGGACTGGTGTGGCCTGGAAGCCCAGCTAGGCTGGCCACATGGGTAGGTTCTCAAGCAAACAATAGGAATTTCACCGCCCCAGAAGCGGGGCAGGTGACGCAGCATACACGTGAGCCTAAATCAGGGCCACATGGGAGCAATACGTTGCTCTTCATGGCGATCAATCATGCTACAACGGCAATACGCCATCAGGCACACTGATCCAGTCAGCAGAGGGCTATGGAACAATCAATGATAAGAAGTTTGGCACCGGTCTCTAGATCAAGAGTAAATGAACATCAACCTGGCCTTGATGTCTGTCCCCGAGAGAGGCGGGGACGAGCGCGCACTGCCTGGCCGCGTCAGGGCGTCAGCGCCTGGGGGACAAGCCCGACCCATGTGGCCACCGTCCCGCGCTGTGTCCTCGTAGCTCCGCCGCGCCGCGCGGCCACGTACACCGCCCCCGTCTCAGGGTGCACGTCCGCGGCGCTTAGCTCGCCCCACGTGACGGCGCCGGGCGCGGTGCTCAGCGCGATCGGCGCGTCTCCGCGCTGCAGCGCCGAAATGGGCACCGCCCCGCGCGCGCCAGCGCCCACAAACGCAGCCCCGACGCCGGGAAATGCGTCCGCCCCGCTGTCTGGCATCCTTCCAGGTCCCGAGTAAACAAAAGCCAGGACGGCCGCGCCGTTTGGCGCGACTGCAACGGCTGGGTACGCCAGCCCCAGTGCCCCGCCCGCATCCACAGACCCAAACCGCGCAACAGACCCTGTCAGAGCCGCCGCTGCTGCGCAGGCGGCAGCCTTCATCGGCTTGGTGACGCTCGAGGGCGCTGAGGCGGCAGCAGAGACCAGGGCTGATGAAACCTGGCCGGCGGTGGCGGCCTCGGCGGTGGAACCTTCCGCATTGGGGTCGAGGGAGGCGTACATCAGCGGTGGGTAGTTGTTGGTGGCGCCATAAAATCCGTACCGCGGCGCGCTCCCTGCGGGTTTGGATAGTGTGCCCATGTGGATCGTGTCACAGAAAGATGACCTTGACGACATTAGGTGCAGAGTTGAAGGGGGGGCTCATGACTGCTGAGTGATGAAGCCCCATGGCCCCGCCACCGTCCGATCTCTTGTAACGCCCCCTCCCTCTCCCCACAATCGACGCCCCGGCGGCCCTGCGCGCGCTCACTTTGCCCAGTGCCGGGGCAGCGCAGCTCGCACCACCGGCCGCACTGGTCGTACTGGTTGTTGCCGACCATGCCAAACGCCGCGTTGCCGGTGCAGTAGGCGCCGTTGTAGGTGGACCCCCACATGTCGTTGCTGTTGGAGGGGCCCCACTGGTTGTAGCCTGGTGAACAGGTGGCCGCAAGAGAAACATGACGGGGCTCTCACCAGGTCAAGCAGTCCTCATGATCAGAGCCCACAAAGCCGAGCAATAGTGCAAGATTGCAAACCGCTATCGCCGCAGCCCCAGCTGTAAGAAGAACAAACACACGCACAACGCAGCCTAAACCCAGGCTGTACATATCCGCCACCCACCCTGGCGCAGTCCAGCCACCCACCAGCATCACAGTAGTCGTCAAAGTTGTAAACGTAGCTGTAGCTCTGCAGCTCCCCATAGCCGCACGTGGTTGAACACCCGCAGCTGCCCTGGCGCCCTCGGTACCCTGACCCGCCCATAGGGCCCCTGAACAGGCTGCCAATGAGCCCGCCGATCCCGCCCACGGCCGCGCTGCTGGCAAACCCCATGGCCAAAAAGTTTGCCGCGGGTGACGTGTCCGCTGCCCTGGAAAGACGGCTCGTGCGGTCCAGAACGACAGTCGCAGCGCCGGTCACGCCAGCGCGCGACGGGCGGCGCGGCGCCGCCTTGGGCTTGGCGGCGGCCGCTGTCCTGAACATGCCCAGGGACATGCTCCAGTTGCGCGCAAATTCGGAGCCCCATGTCAGCGAGTAATCCTTTGACCAGTCAAACTCGGCCGCCATGCCGCTGGCGACCGCCGCCGCGCAGGTGTCTGCTGTGACAGTCAAAGCGGTGCCGTTGACCGGCGCAGCGCCCCATGCAAGCTGGGGGATAACCTCAGCCCAGATCACGCCTGGCCGGGGGCTGTAGAGGCCTCCATCCTCGACTGTGTCGGCACGGGTGGCGAGCAGCAGTCTGCCACGTGCGAGAGCCGCCTGCGGCAGGGCGACGGAACCAGTAGTGTGTGAAAAGCTTTCAACACACCAATGAGGCAAGGGCTGTGGCTGTGTGTCACGCTCTAACAGCATCATTATGCTGGATTGCCAAGGTTGGCATTCAACAAGGCTTTATCTGTCTGCGGCGGCAGCAACACTCAGTCTACAGCCAAAGCCAAGCTCACCCCTCCGCTCCAGAACCCTGTCGGGCCGACGCCACCCGCCCCCAGGGCAGCGCCACCCCCGGGCTGCTTGAGGGTCCCGGCGGATGAGATGGGCGCCGGCTGGCCCCAGGGCACGACGGAAGCCAGCAGCAGCGGAGGTGGCACACCGTTGATCTCTGCGGCATAACCCCAGAGGGCGCCTGTGTTGACCAGAGAGACCAGCGTGAAGCTGCTGCGCTTCGCGCCGGAGCGGGGCCGGTGCTGCAGTGCACGTTGGGGTGGGTGGGACAAGGGCGGGACAAAGGAATGGGCGTTGTGCTAAAGCTTGATGTAGAGCTCAAACCTTGAACACGTGTATCAAATCTGGCCTGGGCAGTAGACTGGTTGACCAAAGGCGCCACTCCGCACTTCTAGCTGCATGTCACAGCTGTTGTGAAGCACCACAATGCATGCCTGCATCAGCAGCACCCTGCAGCAGCAGGCGACCCTCAGTGAACATTGGATTCATGGGCTCACATCTGCCACGAAGAATGCGACGCCCTCCGCAACGTCGTCCGCCGACTGAGGCGCCACTGGCTGCAGCTGCCTCACAGCTGCAGCCCCAGCAGCAAGGCCCGCAGCGGCGGCCACCTCCGCAGACGTGTAGACGGCAGCGTACATGCTGGGGGAGCCCTGCAATTCAAGTGCGCATGGACATTGACCTTGCGCGTTCGCACCATGCATGGGCGGCGTTCATGTGCGCTTGCGCGTGCGTGCCCAGGTAAGGGCTTGCCACCGCGCACATGCACGCCCCCCAAAAAGGAGGGCACCGCTACGCGTTTGACCAACTTCGCCAAATTGTGATTTGAAGCCATTTCCAGAAGAGAAATGAGTGACCAATTGCCGTTCCAGCAGGGAGAGCACCAGGCAACAGCCACACAAGCACCTTATCTGAGCCTTATGCAGCTACCCGGTGCCGATTGTGAAAAGGCGGACCTGGTACGCCTTGAACTTGGGGAGCGCCAGCAGCACCGCGCCCGCGTTGGAGGGGTTGCTGGGGCAGTACGAGTGGTAGGTGACAAAGAGGCCGTCCTTGTTGTACCCCAGCTGGGGGTAGTCGGCGAGCGCCTGCTCCTCTGGGGCGGTGCAGCTCAGCTTGGTGTCGACGCCGTCAGCCACCAGCCCAAAAAGGAACCAAGTCCCTGCGGCCGACGGCGTCGACGACACTGCAACAAGCACCCGTCCAAAGCCGCCGCACGAGGCGGCGACGACAAAGCGATCCGCGTGCTTGTCATAGACCGCGGCGCCGTCATCGACGCCGGTGCAACCTGAGCCGACGCCCGCGAAGAAGGACCTCAGGGGGATGGTGCGGAGGGTGCTGCTGCGGCTGCCGTCAGCGCCGATGTTGAAAACGGACATGACGTCGCCTGCCGTTTGCACGATGTGGCGGCGCCCGACAGCCAGCGCCATCGCACCCCCTGGCGGCGCGTCGACGCCCGCAAAGCCGCCGCGCGGGGCGAAGCACGCGGCGCCAGCGGTGCAGGCGCCCTGACGTGCTGCTGCGGCGGAGACGGACGGCAACTGCGCAGCGTGCGCGGACGTGTCATCCTCAGCCGCTGTCTGAAAACCTGCGTCCTGAAGCAGCCTGCGGCCGACCTCTGGCAGCTTGGGCAGGCTGGACGGCCCTTGCAGGCTGCTGCCACCACTGCTAGATGCCACCGACACAAAGTGCTGCAGCGCCGGCCGTGAGTCAGCGGCCGACATTGGGTATCCGGCTGCTCGCCGCAGGGGTGCGCTGTCGGCCAGCTGCTTCATGGGCGCGCGGTATGCCGGAACGCTTGTCAGGTTGACCATTGCGGCTGCGGTGTTCAAAAGAGGGTATGGTGGAGACGGAGCGGGGGTCACATCATCTCAGTCGCACGAAGCGGCTGCGCATGACGTAGCCTTCTGGCAGCTCCCCGCATGCATGAGCTCGCACTAGTATCTCAATGTAACTATATAGCGCGTGAATGCCCGCGGAAAGGCTGCACGCTCACTGTAGAACGGGGCCCACGCCGTGGGGGCCTTTTGCGGCGCGGCAAACGCTCCATTCCCTATACATAGCGTTCCTAGTAGCAATAAAAACCACATCGTAGTATGAATCTCCAATTTGCAGCGCTTTGATAGGTTTTGATCTTTGGCGGGCTTCTCGCCTCGCTCTAGGAAGCGCGTCGGAATTGTTGAAACTGTAAGTAGATTTTTTACAAAAAATTCCACCGCAATGTAACGTTCTCGATGCAACCTCAGCATGCATCGGCTGCTGTGAGCCGAAAACCTCTTTCGAACGAGTTGAAGCTCCCGACCAGCTGCGCACGCCCTAGTCACTAGTTCGACAGTATCTTCATGATGATGGAATTCACATTTTACAATGTAGGTCTCGAATTCGGTTGCTCTGCGCCTCGCTCCTTTACTTGGCGCGTTTGTGTTGGCCACCATTGTCCCGGGCAAGCATCACAACCTTAAGCATGACCAACACCACCCAGGGTGACCACCCACGCATAGTCTGTGTGCGCATGCTGCGACTGCACATCACACGCTGAAAAAATCGCAGTCCAGGATACCCCGCACACTGCCGTTCAGAAGTCCTGATGCGGTGACAGTACGAAAGTTGGACGATGTTGCTGCTCTGTTGGTGGTGCTGCAGGTTTGAACCTTGTCATTTGGCGCTGCTGCTGGCATGCAAGCCACATCATCACCCTGTGATAACACATCAGCCTCAAAAGTAGAGTGTCCACCTTACACTGGTGGTGGTTGAGGATACAGTTGCACCCACTTGACACAGACAGGGCTGTTAGAATGGTGGAGATTTGGTGGTACAACACGTGGCGCCTCGGCAGGCAGGCGAATAGGTTGTGGTACACATCTGGGTGGCCGTTCGCGATGCACTGAAGAATCTCACTGCAGCGCGCATGTGCACGGCTTGCAGTTTGGGGCGAGACCGCGAGCTCGCGAAGCCCGCAACTGCAGCCCAGGTGAGCCGGTGAAAGAACATGTTTCCCAAGTGATCAGGTGAGTGAAGCGCGTTGACATCGCGCTGCCCGCCTTGTGGCGCTGTGTGAAGGACCAGCTCATTGTGGCGTTGTTCGCGCTTTCGCACAGTCAAGGTGCGCGGTGGGTGACGGTCTCGGCGATGTGGCATGGAAACAACGCGTACGGCCCGACTTGCGCAAAGAGGGCCCGGCAAAAGTGACGCCGCCTTTGCGTGTGAACGGGGAATCTGTCAATCTCTCTGCGTCGCGACCAGCAGCCGGGGTCGAGGATGGGCCTTCACGCGCCACACTGGTTGCATGGTGATCGAGCAAAAGAAGAGCAGATCACATGGCCTTGTCCGCCTCATCAAGAGAGTAATACTGGCTGTCAATGAGGTGGTCCATGCGCTTGGTCTTGGCCTCAAGGTAGCCCTGCGGTTGGGTGCATTGATGATGGGCAAGATGGGGGAAGGGGAGGGGTGAGAAAAGGTGCACGCCGAGCACAATCCCGAGATGACCTGAGCAAACACGCGAGCATGATTGTGGTCAATGCTGGCTTGAGACGCCTTGCCTCCAGGTGCCAGCAGAGCGCGAGCCCGTCCAGAGCGACGCACTCCTTTGCAGCACTTCAGCCACAGAAATGCACACCTTGTTGTAGGTGCCGGCCTGGATCTGGCAGGGCAGGCGGCCAGTCACGTTGACGCCCAGCTGAGTCAGCTCGCTGATCTTGCGGGGGTTGTTGGTCATCAGCCGCACGCTCTTGACGCCCAGCTCCGCCAGGATGTTGCGCACGCTGGTGTACTCGCGGCTGTCGTCGGGCAGGCCGAGGGCGCGGTTGGCGTCGACGGTGTCAAGCCCCTGCTCCTGCAGCTTGTAGGCCGCGATCTTGTTGGCCAGGCCAATGCCGCGGCCCTCCTGCCAGAGGTAGATCACGATGCCGGGGGCGTTGGCGTGGATGTATTCCATTGACATCTGCAGCTGCTCGGCGCAGTCGCACTTGAGGGAGCCCAGGACCTCGGAGGTGAAGCACGCGTCGTGCACGCGCAGGGCGACCTGGTGGCGTATGGTGGGGTGAATTTGAGGGGGTTGGGATGTGTGTATATATTGCGTGAATATGCGTACGTGCCAGCATGTTCTTGGGCTTGCACTTCATTGTGAATAAGCGGTTTGTGCTGGCGGCCCATGTGCCCTGCAAATGGCTCGATTAGAAAACAAGGTGGGCATTCTGGGATAAGGGGAGTGTGTGCATGCACGTCCACTTCACTGATCAGCCCAGGGGCAGGCCACTCACGTCCTCCTTGCCTTCGACCTGGCCGCAGATGATGGCGGTGGGCTCGACAAAATTCTTGCCACCGTCGGTCTGTCCAAAGGTGCAGAAGCGGTAGGTAGGGTGGCTGTGGGTGCACGGATGCTGCGCGCAGGCACGGGCGGGCACTGAGCCCAGGAAGGGCCAGCATCGGTTCTTCCCAGGCCGTCTCCACCAGGTTACAACACGCTTGATGGATGCACATGCCGTTTTGGAGAGCAGTTGCGGGTCAAAAGCGTTGCGTTGAGGCTATCACAATCTGCTCCACAGCGTGCGCATCGCTTTCTGGCGCACCGAGTGCTTGTAGCCGCGGAGGCGGAAGTTGCCGTGGCGTGTGGGCAGCATGGTCTCGGCGATTTGCACGGTGCGCACCTGCCAAAGGAGGCGGGTGATTGGGGGCGTGTAATGCAGGGTGTCGGCCAATGCTTGGGTCACATGTGCTGCAATCCAAGCATGTGTGCCCCCCGTGATTCCTACAGCTCAACGTGGCGCGGCCAGGTACCCCCGCATCGCTGATCTGCTCACATTTTCTTCGCTGATGATACGGTGGAGTCCATCTTTGCGGGTGACCTGAGCTGTGGGCGTAGCATCAGCGCTCACGCGCACCGACACGGGCCGGCTGCAGCTACCCCGAGGCGTGCTGCGCGCGCAAGCGCCCTTATCAATCGATGTGCGCATGCTCATGGCCATCTAGGCGCTTGTGGGGCTTGAGGCGGGCTGCGTCGGGGCAGGGCGCGAACGATGGACCGTGAAAACGTGACAGCAAGCGAAGAAGACGATGAAAAATCAATGTTTTCAACGAACCGTTAATGCTTTCGGTGCTGCGACAAGAAAGCTAACGAACCACGGGGCGCACGTGGGATCAAGCACATGCGAGGTTCAACGCCGTAAACCTCGCGAGCGCTCAGTGCAGACCTACAAAATCGCATCAAAATCAATCTTTACATGGCAGGATGGTGGACGGGGGAGCCTGACCGGGCCTGCAAGCCCGCATTCAATCGCTGGCATGCTCAGCGCCCTCGATCCACGTGCAGTCATGCCATGGCGCTGCCCAAGGCCTGGCGGGCAATGGTGGGCAGCACCACGCACACTGGTAACTTGTCATGTTAGTTGGGGCTTCCATCAATGCCCGACTAGGACTCTCGTTGTAGAAGCTTTCCAGCTGGTGCAAAGAAAAGTAGCCAGAATACCTCATCAAAGTCGCTGAGCTGCCTGCGCTCACTCAGTGGTTTGCTTAATGGTTGATCGCCCGAGTCCGCGCATCTCCATCCCTGCATGTACATCTCTCTCCTGGCGCCGCTGTATGCCACGTCTGACCACCGCATGGGGACGCTGCATCAGAGCAATCATGTCCAGGATTTACCCACTGCACTGACAGAGGCGGCAATGCCCTGGAGCCAAAAAGGGCAAGCAAACGCACGCAGCGCAGGTTCTTGTCCAAGAAAGCCCTCTTGCTGCAAAGAAAGGATGGTACACGAACCCCACGTGAGAATGGCACTGGATCTGGATGAGGCCCAAACACCCGGCACGCGCACGAGGGCTGCTGGCGGGCCGAGGACACACGCCGGCAGGCACACGCCCAATTGCAGCAACAAACAAGCGTGCTGTTCGACCAAAATCGCACGCAAGCCGAGATACGCGCCCAACCAATTGATAAAAGAAAGGGAAAGGATACCACACTGCATGCATCCAGGTTGTCAGGTACAAAGCGGTCCCTTGGCAAGCGGCCCTGGCTTGCCTTGAGACCACCATTGACAAAGCTCACACAACCGTGATCCGACACACACTGCAAGAGCGGTGCAGCCTCCCCCGCCGTGATCACGTCGCCTCCACGCCGCTGCCGTTGCTGCCGCTGGCCGCGACGCTGCTGCTAGTTGGCGCGTGTTTGCTGTTGGGGTGCACGCTCAGCGCGCCCTGTGCCTCAAGGGGGGGCGCGCCCGACCAGTAGACCTGGTCTATGATGTGGTCCATGCGCTTGGTCTTGGCTTCCAAGTAGCCCTGAGCAGTGTAATGCCAAGCGCAAACGTGAGAGAGCGGTGTGGCAGATAAGACACCAGTCGCAACGGGCCAAGACAGAGGGCCACAGGGCCGCGCAAGCCGTGGCCCCAGCGGCGTTGCCTGTGGACACAACCCAGCCGACAGCCGGCGTGACCCGCCAGCGCCGCCGACAGCTGCGGCTTCTTTTGAGCGTGCCCTGGGCCCCAGACCCCTTTGTGGCCTGTCGCAGCCTGTTCTGACCCCCTTCACCCCCCCCTTAAAACACACCTTATTGTGGTCGCCCGCCTTGATCTGGATCGGGATGCGGTCCGTAACCTTGACCCCCAACTCCGTGAGCAGCCGCGTCTTGCGCGGATTGTTGGTCATCAGCCGCACGCTCTTGATGCCCATCTCCCGCAGGATGTTGCGCACGCTGGTGTACTCCCGCAGGTCGTCCGGCAGGCCGAGGGCGCGGTTGGCGTCGACTGTGTCAAGCCCCTGCTCCTGCAGCTTGTAGGCCGCAATCTTGTTGGCCAGGCCGATGCCGCGGCCCTCCTGCCAGAGGTAGATCACTATCCCCGGCGGGTTGAGCTGGATATACTCCATGGCCGCCTGCAGCTGCTCGGCGCAGTCGCACTTCAGCGACCCCAGGACCTCTGCGCAGCCGGTGCAGCGCCAGCCGAACGGGCGATGGGGTCAGGCACGGCACAGGGCAGCAGAGCACACCCCAGGCGCCAGACACTGGTCGCGCGGTCAATCGAGGCGAGTTCTCTCCCCAACCCCGTCGTGATTGAGCACCCAGCTCAGCCTGCAGGCTGCCCTAGGCGTTCCGCCTCATGCCCACAGCCAGCGCGGACAGAAGCGGCGCCCACCAGAGGTGAAGCACGCGTCGTGGACGCGCAGAGTCACGTTCTCCATGCCCTCCACCTGGCCGCACATGATCGCCGTCGGCTCCACAAATGTCTTGCCGCCGTCAATCTGCATGGGGGGTGCCGCAGGGGCGACGAGCCGCGGCCGTGACGTCAGCCTCGCGTGGCACCGACCTCGGCAGCACCGACCCGCTGCTGTGCTGCATTTGACAGCGAGGACGTGCAAAGCATGAACTTCAGGAACCTGCTAGTCTTTACGTTTCCAAGGCCAAAGCGTGCCAGCGGTTTTCATAACCATGCCAGGTAGGCTCAATCTATGGTTTGGTGTGTCTCACGCGCACCGAGTGCTTGTAGCCACGGAGCCGGAAGCTGCCATGCCTAGTAGGCAGCTGCGTCTCTGCAATGAAGACTGTCCGCACCTGAGGGTGCGACGCAGCGGGCGGGTCTGTGGGCGCCACGAGCACAATGGACGGGCCGCAGTGTGCGCGCCAGGCGCGCACGCACACCACACCTCGGCGGACGCAGCTACCAGTCGATGCTCACCAGCTCCTCGTGAATTGGTCGATGAAGGCCTTCAGGTCCAAGTGCATACGCCGTGAGCGCGGTGGTGGAGCGGACTGGCTGCCTGTGCTTCGGGGGCAGAGCTATCGCTGCGCAGTGGAGCCGCGTTCGGTTCAGGGCCTGTGTCCCCCTAGTCTGCTGTTTCAAAAAAGCAGTCTTCATAACGCGCGATCCAGGCCCAGTGGGGCACGCTAGGATAGGGTCCCGGAGGAAGAAGATGTGTGAAGGCGGAGCGCAGTGTGTTTATAATAGTTCGTGCAAGCGTGTGAACGAATCCGTGGTTTGTACGCAACGTGTATGTGGCTCAATGGCGGGGGGCTGTTCACTTTGGTGGGCGATGCTGAAACGGATTAGCGCAAGCCCAGCACTGGCACACGACGCATCGCCCGCGGCCTATTGACCGCGCCACAGGTAACGTCGCCCCTCCCTTTCCATCATCCAACGAAAACGAAGGCTCTGTTTTGCTTCTGGACAGCCACTGTCTTGGTACGCGGACGCAAAGTCTGGCCTGGCCCTTGTGGTCATGAGGCACCAGGCACCAGGCATCCAGCGGCCCGCTCCCGAGCGGAAGGGCGCCGCGTGTTGGTGCCGCGTGGAAACCGGGCCCGACGGCAGCTATTGGGAGACTCGGGCTGACGCGCTGCACCCATCCTCCGCATCAGTCACATTCTGTTCCCACACAGTCCCGCCATCAGGCCAGCAGCTTACACAGGGTTCCCGCCACGCCCGCGGCCCGCGTCACGCACTCGCGACCTTGACCGGCCGCGCGCCGGCCGCCTCGAGCAGCCATGAGCCCAGCTTCCGCCGCAGCTCTGGCAAGGGGCCCGCCACGCCGGCGACGCCGCTGCCGCCGCCGTCGACACCGAAGCGCTGCCGCCGCACGCCCTCCAAAAACTCGAGCATGCCGACCTGTTTGATAGGCGCGGTCAGGCAGTCATTAGGCACAACGCGTCAGCAACATGTCAGGGCCGCCCTTGCCCCAGGCAGACAGCGTCTTCGGCAGGCATTGCAGAGGAAACGCAACCCTGCCGTGGTGATGACGCCGTACGCCCAACACCCTGAGCACTCGAGGGTCGCCACCCGCCGCCGCTCACGACAGCACAGAGGACGACGCGCCTAGCGGGCTTCCAAACTCCGCCATTCCTCTTCACTTCGCGCCCCCCCCCCCACACACACACCTCTGTCTTGCCGCCACGCGCCGCCAGCAGGCTGGCCTCGTTCACCACGTTCGCCAGCTCAGCGCCGTTGAACCCCGGCGTGACCGCCGCCAGCCGCGCCGCCGCCTCGCTCATCGTCAGCGCCCGTGCGCCCGCCGCCGCCGCCGCCGCTGCGAACTCCTCCACCGCCGCCGCATCCTCCAACGGCGCGCCAGCCGCGGCGGCCGCCGCGGCGGCGGCGTCTGCGGAGCCCTCCAGCGGCACGCCCCTCAGGTGCACTGCCAGGATGGCGCGCCGGCCGGGCTCGTCGGGCAGCGGCACCACCACCTTGCGGCTGAGGCGGCCGGGGCGCAGCAGCGCGGGGTCGAGCACCTCGGGCCGGTTGGTGGCCGCCAGCAGGACCACGCCTGGGATGGCGCAGCGGTAATGGTTGGGCGCAGCAGAGGCGGGGGTCGGCCGTAGAGCCGAGGGGATGAGGCACCGCGCTGGGGGGCTGCAAAACACAACAGGGCACGACGTGCAGGAGGGAGGGAAAGGGGACGGTACGCAAGGGCGCGTGGCGCGCGCACCTGGACGCCCCTCGAAGCCGTCCAGCTCTGTGAGCAGCTGGTTGAGGGTCTGGTCCCGCTCGTCGTTGAAGCCCATGCCGCGCTTTGAGCCGAGGGCGTCGAGCTCGTCAATGAACACGACACTGGTGGGACAGAACGGGTGGGGTGAGGGTTTGCGTTGGGGGTGGGGGTGGGAGGGCGTGGGGCCGAGGCAGGGGCCCAGGCGTGACAACCAGGCCGGGTTGCAAGGGGGGTTGAGATGCAGGGGGGGTGTTGTGAGTCTATGCATAGGCTGGGGACACGGCGTCCGTGTGCGGCATGGTCTTTGCGGGTGCGAGCGCGTGGGGTTAGGTGCGGTGCGGTGGTGGGGGCCGCATGCGTGCGTGAGCGCTGAGACGTACATGCATGCTGCTTGGAGCTCGGGCTGCACATGCCTCAGCCATGCACAGCATTCATGTGTGAGGAGGGGAGCGAGAAGCTATGGAGAAAGTGGCATGCCGCATGATGGCCGGCCTCGACGCAGCACTCACCAGGGTGAGGCCTTGCGCGCCTCTGCAAACAACTCGCGCACACGCGCCGCGCCGCGGCCTGCGAGCGGCGGCGACGACGCAAGGAGGGGGGGGGCGCAAGCAGGCGTCGCGCAGTCACGCAACAGGGCAGAATCAGTGGCCTGAGTCCGTCGGCTGGGCGCCAGGCGCAAGGCGGGGCGGCGCCCTCCACGGCCAGCCGGTGCCGGCCGCGCTGCAGCCTGCCGGCTGGCCATGGACCAACCAGCACTGACTCGCCAAACTCTGCTGTCCCCACACACAGCGACCCACCGCGACGCTCGGCCTGTGGCTGACCCCACCCTGAACTGCCGGGTCAGCCGCCACGGCGCACGGCGGTCGACACCCCACACACGGTTGCGCACCTACAAACAGCTCAACAAACTCCGACGCTGACATGGCGATGAAGGGCACCCCCGCCTCCCCCGCCACGGCCTTGGCCAGCAGCGTCTTGCCCGTCCCCGGCGGCCCGCTGAGCAGCACGCCGCTGGGCATGCGGGCGCGCACACGGGCGTAGCGCGCCGCGTCCTGCAGGCACTGCACCACCTCCCACAGCTCAAGCTTGGCGGCCTCGCAGCCTTTGAGAATGGACGGGGGTGCGTGGTGGTCATGGGTGTGTGAGGCTTTGCAGTGAGTTGTGTTGATGAGGGGTGATGAGCAGAGAGGGTGTAGTTGAAGCGAGGGGGTTTGGGGCGGGCCGTGGGGCAGAGGGCGGCCGCTGGCACGCATGCGCCGCGGCTGCGCAGTTTGGCCCAGAGCCGCTCTGCTTCCAACAAAAATGCTCGTCCGCCGCCGCGCCTCCCTCGAAACCCAGCCAAAACACCAAGCGCGCGCGAAGCTGGCAGCCGGGGCGCCCTCCTCCCTCCCGACCAGCCCCTTCACCTGCCACGTCGGCGAAGGTGACCGGCGGCGCGCCGCCATTGCCCTTCTTCTTCCGCTGCGCCCCCCCGCTGCGCGCGTCGACCAGCCGCCGCAGCACGAACAGGAGCGGCAGCAACGACAGCCACAGCGCGAGCGTCGTCACCAGCACGTTGGCCAGCTGCGCCTGAACGCCGGGCCGGGTGACGCCAAACTCAATGCCGGCTTCCAGGAGCCGCGACACCAGCAGGGGGTCTGACTTGTCCGCGACCTTCACAAAAAAGTGTCGCGACAGCCCCTGCTTGGCTCGGACAGGCAGCAGAAGCTGCTGCTGCTGCTGCTGCTGCTGCTGCTGTTTGGTGTTCTGCTGCTTGCCCTGCTGCTGCTGCTGCTGCTGCTGTTGTTGCACCCCCTGCGCTTGCTGCTGCTGCTGCTGCTGCTGCTGCTGCCCTGCCGGCGCCGCCACTTGGGGCAGGTTGATATCAAAAAACACCTTGCCTGTCCCCGCCTCCAGCCGCGCCGCGCGCACGCGCCGCTGGTCGACGAGGCTCACGAAATCAGAGTACAGCACTTCCCGTGGCGCCGTGCGCGCCCTGGCAGCGGCGTACGTGCGCAGGCTCGTGAACAGCAGCGCGCTGGCGCAGCCGAGCAGGACGATCCGCAGGTACGCCAGTGCGCGCGTGACGGCGGGGCTGAGGCGCCGCCGCTCGCCGGCGAGGCCGAGGCGGCGGCGCAGCCACTGGAGGATGCGAGGAGGGCCCCGTGCAGCTCCGCTGTCGTCGTCGCCGTTGCTGTTGCTGCTGTCACTACCTGATGTGGGCGGCTGCAGAGGTCGCTGCGGTGGCTCGACGCGTTGTGGGTCATTGGCTGCGGCAGGGCGGCTGCGCATGCGGCGGCGCGCCGCCCCAGCCGTGTGGTGCATCGGCAACGGAGAGAGCATCTGCCGGCGCTGCGCTGCGCATGGGACACATTGCGCGGCAGAAAGCGCTCTCATTGCTCCAAGCTGCATTGCTTTGCCTCCGCGCTATAGACAACGGGAGTCCTGGTGATTCGCACGGCAGGGAGCGGTCCGCCCTAGGTTGCAAACGACTATCGGCGAGGGTTCACAGCAACCTCAGCTTGATCGCATATTGAATTGCGCTGTATATTTCGCGTCCATGCAATGAGAGTGACTAAGCCAAGGTCCAGGTCTTCTGGTGATCAGCTTTTTTCTTCACCTGGAAATGGACACCGCCCTGCCCTGCCTCGTGGCCGTGCATGTGGGGGCAGGGTGGCATTCACCCTCCAAGGAGAGCGCCTACAAGCGCCTGATGTGCGAAGCGATCTCGGCGGCGACAACGGCGCTCGTCGCCGGCCGAAGCGAGCTTGGCGCCGTGGTGGCTGCCCTTCGTATGTTGGAGGTGGGTGGAAACCTCTGCTTAGCATACGAAGCACATTCAACATCGGTCAGGCAATGGCCTAGCTTGCTGCCTGCCCCAGCGTCACGGAGTCTGCGCGTGGCGCGGTGCTGCTGCCTCAAACTGCGGTGCCGCGCACGCAGGACAGCCCCCTCACCAACGCCGGGTCTGGCTCAAACCTCAACATCGCGGGCCATGTGGAGTGCGACGCCAGCGTCATGGCCGGCGACGGCGCGTTCGGCGCGGTCGGGGCGGCGCCGGGCGTGCGCCACCCGGGCGCCGCGGCTGCGCTTGTTGCCGAGGAGTCGCGGCTGCCCCTGCCGCTGGGGCTGGTGCGCCCGATGTGAGCAAAAAACGGCTCTGCACTTGCTATCCATTCATGCATTTCCCATTGAGTGTGCACACGGTAATGTGGCTGAATGCCGCTGATGTATGAGTCTATGCGAGGCACCACGTTTGAGGTACGTGTGCTGGTTGAGCCAGCTTGCGCCTTTTGACTCAACGCACAACTAAAACGCGATGTCGGGCGCAGGTTCCTGGTAGGGGACGCCGTTCGGCGCTGGGCACTGTCGCGTGGGCTGGAGGCCGCACCGAGCGCTCACTCAGCCGCGACGGTGCGAGGGCGAGCGCAGGAGTGGCCAGCGGTGGCAATGAAATGAGGGAGCTTGACAAAAAATGCAACCCTGTGCCTTTGCCTGGTGCGACTGCCTTGGCCGCAAGCGGGCCATGAGCTGTAGCCCGGGCCTGACGCCCCTGCGCGCCACGCCTGCAACCGCCCACCGCAGTGGCTGATCAGCCCTGCAGCATCTGCTGCCTGGCGGCGCTACAGCAGGATGCTGCGGGAGGCTGGAGGGCAGCACGCACAGCTTATGCAGGAGCAGCAGCAGCAGTACCAGCACCAGCAGCAGCAGCAGCAGCATGGTGAAGTCAAGGAGGACGGTCATGGCGACTCAGCGGGGGAGGTCGATGGCGCAGCGGGATGCCAAGAGGGCGCAGAGGCTGGGGAGGAGATCCGCCCGATCAAGCGCCCTCGGGTGGGGCCCGCAGCGACGGGCATCATCAACGGCTGCCAGGACGAGCAGCAGGAGCAGCAGCAGCAGCAGCAGCAACAGCAGCAGCAGCAGCAGCAGCACAACAACAACAACCTGTACCATCAGAATCAGCGACGACGGCACGGCGCCGCCACCGCGGCCGCCCAGCACACACCTGAGGCCGCCGAGGGCGCGGCCAGCGGGGACGAGGCACCGCCCCCGCGGCGCATAGGAGATGTGTGCGACACAGTGGGCTGCATCGTGGTCGGCCCCCGCGGCGCGGTGGCGGCGGGCGTGTCTTCTGGCGGCCTGGCCATGAAGGCGGAGGGCCGTGTTGGGGAGGCGGCGGTTCACGGCTGCGGCTGCTGGGCGGAGGACCCGGCTGGGGGGCTCGACGGCGCGCCAGGTGCGCGGCAGGGCGACGCCTGCGGCCGTGTGTTGGGCGAGCGGGGCCCTGTCGCGGTACCTGTGTCGCACCCAGTATTCCTGCAGCGAATGCTCTTCTGAAGGCACTTCGTCAGGAAGCCTGCCCGGCATGCGCCTGGCTGTCGGAGGCTGTGCGGTTTGTACGGGGTCCACTTCGCTCTGCAGCAACGTGGACGTAAAGTTCGCCTCGCCCTAAACCCTAAACCCTCACCCTTGCGCTCCAGGCGTGGCGGTCAGCATATCCGGCTTGGGGGAGGCCATCATACGCGCCACACTTGCCAGGTCCTGCGCGGCCCGCGCGCAGCTGCTGGGGGACGAGGGCCCCGCGGCCACGGCCGCCGCCTTGCTGCAGGCCACGATGACACAGGTGGGGGCGTGGGGCCTCGGAGGGCGGGCGTTGGGGGATGTGTCAAGTAAGCCAAAAAATGAGATAGCGAGGAAGCGGCGGTTGTGTGGCCACATGGCGCAGGGTGCAACCTTGATGTGCACACGTAATGCAGTGTCTTGCCGAGCCAAGGCCGTATTGGGCAGACGCGGCAGCAGCTGAGCATCCTACTTGGGTTGCGGCCGCTTGGCGCTTGCCGCTTTGCTGTGCAGGGGCCCGAGGCGATCGAGTGTGGCATACTCATGGCCAGGGTGGTGCAGAGTTCACCACCACCGCTTTCAGGCCACGACGGCGGATGCGTTGGCGACAGCCCCAGCCGCAGCGAGGATGCACCCGCTGCGGCAGGCGCGCAGCAGGGCGGGCGTGGGCGCCTGCGCGTGGAGATGGCGGCGGCACACACGTCTCCGGCGTTTGGCGTGGCATACCAAGCAGCCGGCATGGCTGCACCAGAGGCGATGATCCTGCGGCTGCCAGGTGTGGGTCGCGGCGGAGGCGGCGGCGGCGGCGGCGATGGCGGGGGCGGAGCGGCGCTCCAAGGTGCTGTAGCAGCTGAGGGGCCCCGTGGAGGCGGTGCTGCCAGGGCCGATGCGGCGCGGCAAGCCAAGGTGGCATCGTTTGAGTTTGCTTGCTGCTGGGAATTGCCTGTGGATGAAGGGCATCCAACCTAGTAACCGTATATTCTTTGTGGAGTCATGAATTCCCAGGGGTAATTCCCGGCGCGCAGCATCTGTGTGAATTGTGGTCTTGAATTAGTGAGGATCCAGCTGAGTTCGTTGGGTTCATCACCGAAATGCGCCGATTATGAAGCCACTGCATTCAGCAACATTAAGAGAACGTGATCGGCCGCGTTGCACTGTCGGCGCCCGCAGCCTCATGACCGCTGCCTGCCACAGCGGCCAGACACAGACGTCGCGTGTCTGCTCTGCGCGTGGGAGTTTCTTTGATTGGCTTGGCACAAGCAACAGGCTCGGAGGGCAGCACACCAACAGAAGCATTCATGCAATCGGCTGCTAAGCTTCCGTGCAGCCACCACGCCGTACTGCGTCTGCCAAGGTTCACACGGCTCACGGCATTACCCCAGAGGTTTTTGCCTGCAAGGCTGCTGCTGTCAGGACGCGTTCACCACGCATGGCAGCTACGGCTGGCCACAACATTGTCAACGTGTAGTTACAGCCAGACGCGCGATGGCGCGCTTGCTCATCACATAGTATGCGCTCGCAGGTTCAAGGATTTTGATGTCATCACGCGTGTGTGAGTGTGTATGAGTTTAGGTGTGCGCGTGTGAAGTGTTTGCATGTGGTTGCATACGTGTGCATGTGATGTCCATGTGTGTGCACGTGTGTGTGTCCCTCGTCAAGCTCGCCTTGTATTTTTTTGGGATGCAGCCAAACTCGTCGTGTCCCTTGCAGGTCAGGGGCTAGCACAGTGGATGCAGGGCCGGCCCAGCAAAGAAGGGAGCCTCAGGGGCCCCAGCGCTCCCAGAGAGGAGCAGACCGCGCCAGGTGGCGCGCAATGAGGTGTCGGGTGTGGCGGCGTCATGCGCCCAGCTTGGCGATTGAGTTCTTGAATTCGGTGGACCACGCTGCCAGCTGCAGGCGGTCGGCGGCAGTGCAGCGGATGGGTAGGTGCAGGGAGGACGGTTGGGTCGGTTTGTTGGGCTAGCAAATAAGGGAATAATCATGGGTCACAATTGGTCAGCCTGGCCCCTACCATAGCAAGAATTTGCAAGCTACCCTGAACCACGGAGCCGTCCCAACAGCGGACATGGCAGGGGGAAGGTGGCAGCTGCCCCGCACCTTCTCGTAGGCCCCCACGATCTTGCGGGTCAGCACCGTCAGGAACGCCAGCGACACCAGGTGCGCCAGCACGACGTTGCCGGCCGCCTGCGCCAGCGCCTCGGTGGCGAAGCTGCTCTGGGACTGCACCAGCAGCGTGCCGACGGAGGCGAAGAGCGCCAGGATCGCGGCGGCGGCGCCGATAAAGTTGAAGCTGAGGGGGCAGAGTAGAGCGGGTGCTTTCGGGTAAGGTGGGCACGGGGGGGGGGGGGAGGAGCGCGCCGCAGCGTGCGTGCTTGTGTGTTTGTTCAGGTCCAACAGCACCGCTCTGCTCGTGGGTTGCCCTGCCGCTGGCACAGCAGCTGCCAGGTGGATGAGCAGGCTCCATCACCCGGCGCCGAGGGTACGACCGCGAGGATGCACGCACTGCTGCTCGCACCGTCGCCGTTCCCTGCCGGACGGCAATCGCGGGTGCGAGAATGCCAGCAGGCAAGCCGCTGGCCCGCGCCGCAGCTAGCAAGCAGAGGGTCGCGGCAACCTTCGGGTTGCGCCCCAGGCACCCACGTGGCGTGCTCGTAGAACGCGTTGAGTTGCGCCCAGCCGTCCAGGGCTCCCAGTCCCTCCTTCTTGGCCTTAGTCAGGTAGGTGAAGGACAGGTAGGCGCTGTAGCCGGCCAGGGCCACGCCCACCAGCAGGATAAGCGCCACAGGGTTCACCGACGTGCCCTGACGTGTGAACACACACACGCACGCGCGCGACAGGCGTCGAGGCTGTGAGGTGAGGCAGCGAGGTCTCGACAGCCACCCTCGGCGCGACGATAATTGCAAGCAGCCAGGGCGTCTTCCTTTCTCTGCGAAATGGGGCGAGCAGCACAACAGGCTGGCCATGCGCAACGCTTTCGGCATTTGCTGGGCCGGCTGAGGGGTGGGGCCGGCCGCACCTTGACGATGTTGGCGTGGGAGGTGGTGAACACGACAAACCATGAGACCGCGGTGAGCGCCACCTGGGCCGCAAAGTTGAACTTCACTGGGTGGTTGAGGGTGGAGGGCAGGGATCGCGGTGCGCTGCATGAGAGGGAAGGGGCACGGGCGCCAGCTGCGGGCGCTGCGATGCGGCTCGCCCGTCTTGCGCGCGGCTTGGGAGCCCGCGCTCCACACCTCCGGGCACTGCACGGCCAGGCGAGGGGGGGGGCACAAGGGGGATGCTGGGATGCTGGCTGGATGCGTGCTCACAAAACTGGCTGATGTCCACGTCCAGGGTGGCCTGGTTGAGGGCGCCCTTCAGCTTGGTGGCCGTCTCCTTGGCCTTGTCCACCGCGACAGACGCGGCCTCCTTGGCCTTCGCGGCCGCCTTGTCGGCGAGCTCACTGGCTGAGGCGGCCGCGTCATTGGTTGCGGCGTGGAGCGGCGCCGCCACCTGTCGGGGCGCCGGGGTCGCCGAGGTGGGTGAGGTTGGCCGGATTGTGACGAGGTGAGAGCACAGCTCGCGCATGATGGCAACTGTCTCGAGCCGCTGAGCGTAAACGGGCCGCTTCAGGGGCCCGTCTCTCCACGGAACACTCTGTAAGGTTGACTAGCGTCCTTCCATACCAAACTCGTCCATGAACGCTTCGTGGTGCCGAGTCGTGGTCGTCGTGACGCGTGCTAGTGACCCACCTTGCGCGACACTGCCAAGCTCTGGAACGGCTTCGCAACAGTTGATAGACCCTTGGCACGCGCGAGAGGCGCGACCACGCGGCTGGTGCGGGCAAGGGTCTGCATGGTTGCCGTGGCAAGCACTGGTCCTCTGGGTACGGGGTTGAATGTTGCAATCAACAAACAGGACCAGAGTTAATTTTGCACGTTATGTTACATGCCGGCTTTCCAGTTCTGGCGGGAGATCACAGGTGGTAACTCCTCACCCGCTGGGATTCCTTGCGTGTTCGTTCAAGGGTGGCTTCTAAGATGGTGAAATCACGTTGAATAGGGTTTATCTTAGACTTGAGAACACCTCCTGGGCAGTTCAGCAGCGTTGCCACCTGGCGGCACTGCCAGAGTCTCCCCGACCCTTTGGGAAAACATGGGATGGAATCGGGCGCGTGTGCTGCGTGGGGCTGCTGCTGTGCAAGACTGTGCAAAGTTGTAGGTATACACTGGCATTTGCTTACGCACTTGTGAAAGCATGCGCAGCATCACGCCCGTCGGGGACGTTGCCAGTGTCAGCCGCTGTTTGCCCTGTTGCCAAATTTTGTTGTTGAACCCCTCACCATCGACGCGCTGGCGCCACGCGCATGAATCAACGCCACCACGGCGATCTGTGTTACCCGCAAAGCCACATGTCAAGCTTGGGCGGAAAGCCTCGCGGTGGTCAACAACACGTTGCAGTTAAGCCTTGGGGAGGGTAGGCCCCCAATCTGAGGCAGGCGGCGCGCCTGGGCACGGTGTGCCCCCAGCTACGCACCGGCGACAAAGGCGCGCGCCTCAGCTACCAACATGCTTGCTGACATGGCAGCCGAGCTTCGCCGCGAACGTTCTTGCTACCGAGCCAACTGGTGCTGCGGTGCACCATGCGTCGCGCGCTTAGTACTTGCCCATCCTGCAGTGTGAGTCGACGAAGCCGCCGAGGCGAAGCGGATGTGAGGAGATCGCCAGGAGCAGAGAGGGACGGGCCGGCAACCTGGCCGCTACAGGCAACACATTGCAGGCAGCGCGTCACGTAGGACGGGCGCATGCGCCATCGCCGCAGCCGCAGAAGTCCATGGCGGCAACAAAGACGCGTGCAGGCGGGCCGGCATGCGAGCAGGCTCTGGCGTGCAGGAGGGGGCTGGCGCGCAGGAGGCGCCACCCACCAGAGGCCCTTCTCGCGGAGCTCCTCCCACTCCTCCACCTGACGGCGCCAGCCGTTGAGGTGCGTGGCGGTTTAGGGGCGATGTTGAAACCCAGCGTGGACGAGCCGTCCAGGCGGCCAGAAAAAAAGGCCGCAAGCCCCTCCAACGCCAGCCGCCCACCTCACCCACAGCGGACCGAGCGGCCCGGCGTGCCCAGCTCGGGAAACGGCGGGCTATCTGACGCGTTCGGCATGCGAGAACCAACGAAAGAAGAGCAGCGCTGCCATACCCACCCAGTCCGCGGGGCACATGCTCTCGTAGGCGCGCTTGTAGAAGTTGCAGCGGTCCGCCTCGGTGCCGCGCTCAAACACGCACCTGCCGCGGCGCGGCGGCACGGCAGCACACGGGTACACCACATTGAGCCAGAAAAAGGCGTAGTTGAAGTCAGCGGCAGCGACAGGGGTCCTGTGTATGACCCCAGCGCTGCACAAGGTACGCCACAAGCATGGCGCAGCCCTGGCAGGTGCGCACCCTTTGCACCCCCATTCACACGCGCTGCAGCCTCAGGCATGCCCCCCCGCCCCCGCGCCTCACTTGTAGTACTCGTTGTAGCGCACAAAGCAGTGGCGGGCCTGGTTGGTCGCTGGGAAGCGCGGGTCGTAGGGCGCGGTCACGACCTGGGGG